ACAAAGATGATGCATATGTGAAGAGAAGATGGCGACAAGTTCAATACATCGCACACATGTTCTGGAAAAGATGGGTACAGGAATACCTCCCTTTGCTCCAAGAACGTCAAAAGTGGAATCAACAAAGGAGAAATTTTGTTCTTGGAGACATTGTTGTGGATCACCACAACAATGTCTCCAAGAACAACACGTGGATCTTGGCTTCTTGGCAGAGTTTTGGAGACCTTCCCCATCAAGAAAGGCCTGGTACGGTCTGTGCGTCTTCAGACGAAGACAAGCATCTTAGAAAGACCTGTCACTAAGCTATGCCTATTACAAGAGGCTGCAGGTGGCTAGTGCTGAGATTCATAGTGATTTCTTGGTGAAACCAGGTTATGCATACAAAATACTGGATATTGTTTGATCCAATTTCGGTCTCTATTACAAGTATTATGGCTCTGTCATTTAATTTGGAGGTAATTGTAATGTCAGCTGCCATTCACAATTAGGGGCCGGTGTGTTAGAGCCATTTTCATTTGTGTGCATTTATGTTCATTTGATGTACTTACCTGTGGCCACCGTTAGTGGTGCTCTGGTGTCATTCCGTACTGTGGGGTGTGAGAAAGTATAAGTAGAAGAAGAGGTGATTACATAGGTGTATTGTTGCTAACCGGTAGAAGCCAACAGTTTTTGACCGTCATATCTGTCATTGTATTGGTGTGTAATGCGTGATTTGTTTGATATGCACACAAGTTATTGGTATGTACGTAAGTGTGTGCAGAGTTCGGCGTGGGCCACATGTAATTTAAATGGAAGATAAGGAATAAATCTTTTGATAATTGCATGGACGTTCCTCAGTCTCATTCATTAGATACGTCACGGAAGACAGACGCGTCAACTCAGAAGTGCCACTATAGCAGCCCCTTATAGTGGCTTATAGGATTCGTTTTGTTGTTTTGTTTTGCTAAACCAAGTCACTATGTACAAGTACCATCCACAACCTTTCACAATGGAAAAGGAAGAAAACGTGTACTGAACTGAACTGAACTATACGGGACTGCTTGGTGGGAACAGGACTCTAGACACTAATCACACACACACACACACACACATTTTCAGCTTGATGTAGAATATGCGATACATTGCATATGAACTGATATTAGAAGTGACTGAAATAATAGAAGTCTGTTTTCAAATCTCTGAAAAAGTCAGCAGTTTTAGGCTCTGTTACTGGGCAGATTTGCAAAAAAACAGCTAACTTCCTCTCTCCAAAAGAAGCTATAAGCTATGTGGTTTTCACAATTTAGTCTTATTTGACTTCTTTTGGTTTAGGCTAAGTTTCCATCCCTGCTCTGATAGTCATTCTATGGGCCATAGTTTCGCAGACCGGGTGAGGTGGGGGCGCAGTGCACCTGTGCTTCGCCAACTGGGTGTGGCCAGGCGGATTTTGCAAGTTTGGCACACTGTGCATGCTGGCGCAGCTACTCCTCTTTCCCACCTCCGTCCCTCCTACCTGCGCAAGTCGGAAAGAGGGAGGAGAGAAGGCGTGGAGTGGGTTTTACACACATCACACCAATCAAATGAGCCCCTCTCCTCACCCTTAAATGCGCCGCGCGAAGGCGTAATAAGAGTTTACTCAATTCGCCATGGCAGAAGAGAGCAGCAGCGTCAGATGGCCAAACTTCTCCCAGGAGGAAACTGACGTTTTGGTCCGGGAGGTCCAAGCTTGCAGTGTCCGAATATACGGAACTGTATATTATATCGCAGTCTCACTCTATCTGATGTTGTGGCTGTTTGTGGTTGGCTGAGAGGGATGTGAACTCATTAGTTTGCAGCTGTGTTAATCAAATCAGGTTGTTTTTCCATTATGTGTGCCAAACGTGCCAAACGGTGCCAATCCCCTTTGATCTGACATCAGATGTGACGAGACAGTCGATATAGAGATACATTTATGTGCTGATTGCAGATAGTTGCATTGAATAGTGTTTTTTGGGGTATTTATTGCATTATTAATGTGCCTGATATTCTGGAAACCTGCCTGTGAGGTTTTGGTGACGTGTGCTCACTGTCCGCCGGTCAGCCAAACTTTCACTTACACCGGCTGCGCTCCGCCTGCACTGACAGTAGACCTGGTTTCAGCTGGCGAGCTTTTAGCGCACCTTCGGCGAAGCCTTTTAGCACGAAACTGTCACTGCGCCAAGCTGGATCTGTCGACACCTCCCCCTGCTGCGCCGCCACACCCATCTCAGCACACCTCAGTCTGCCAAACTACCAAACTTAGCGCGCCTCAGGTTGCGCTGCTCGAAACTAGCTCTGCATGGGGTTCGCCACCCTGCACCGCCCTGCGCTGCGCCGGGAAACTAGAGCCCTTTGTGTTTATATGCATCTGGAGAAGTCATGTCCTGGAGAGCATGTTGCATCACCACAACAACTAGCACCTGTGAACTGTCATCACCATTTCCATCTCTTTGCTGTACATTGCAATACCCTTACTCTGTCCTCAAGACACCTGAGGGTGCTACAGCACCCTCTGAACTGGAGCACTAAATGTCTAAAAATAGTGCATGAGGAATGGACTATCTGTTGACCGTTAGAAGAAAAAGAACCTCTGCAGCAGCGAAACTGATGTACTGTAAAATAAACTTCAACAAAGAAAATATGCATGTTTTTTCAGAGTGCAGTACTGCCACAAACATTTGTGGTGCTGTAAATGTGGTGTTAGCAGCAGTGGTGGAGAGAGTATTCAGATCCTTTACTTAAAGGGCCAGTGTATAATATTTGGCATGGTTTATTGTCAAATCTGAATCTGAATCTGAATATTCTACCCATTAATACGTTTGTATAAGTGTATAATCGCTATAAAATAAAATTTGTTTGGTTTTCGTAGCCTTATAATTATATAAGCCTTTTATATATATATATAGCAAGGGCCTTGGCCATCTTGCGCCGCCATGTATGTAAGGCAGCCCGAGCGGACAATCCAGCCAGCCAGAGAACGCGTTTCGTGTGTATAAATAAACCAACAAAGACAGCGGAAGGAAGGAAGGAGGAGGAGGAAACAGCAGGGAGTGTTAGTAGTTCGTCGATGGATAGTAGTTTTTTTAGTTATAAAGTTTGCGAATGGACCACACTTACCACGCAACAGGAGAGAATGAACTAGAACCGTCATCTGCGAGGAAAAGAAGATGCAACTTCACTCCTTGTGATGCACTCTCTGTGGCGTCCTCCTGATGATGTATCCCCCCAACGATGGTAGCACCGAATCCCATTCTGTGCAGCAAAATGGGAGCGGAGGATTCAGCCTCTTGTCTCGCCCGCTCAGCATCCAAGTTCCTCATCTGTATGCTCCGGCTCAAATAGGTATGGCTCTGGGTCTGTGCCCGCTACAAGAAACTCTTCAAAATCGCGTTCAAAGTCGTCCATTGCAGCTACTGTAGTCCGGAGATGTTGCTAGGCTAAATAAACAGCTGAGCACTGTTTACAGGCTACGCTGTCAGTCAGTGTGCGGGCTGGAGATTGGTGGAGCAGAGAGGGGAAGGGGTACCCGCTTGGTATTGTAAATGAGAATGTGTGTATGGAGTGTGTGTGTTACGCTAGAAGAGTCAGACAGGGACGGAGTCTATTACCCCCTGGAGTGTTACCGGAGTTTTTGGAGTGCTCAAATAAACGGGCCTTTTTCCCGAACGCTACTCTGGTCTCCTGCTCATGAGGGATTCATTACAATATCGTAACATGGCTTAGATTTCTAAATAAACTTTCACCTCGTCGCTAGATAGACCTACTCCTGAAAAACTTCTGCTCAAGGCTTTTTGTCCCTACGAGGCCACCGTCATTTACCCGACGGGAGGGGTGAGCGAGTAAGCCCTGCAATCTAGAATTTGACCACTGATGTCACTGTTTTCAACGGTTTTCAACCCGTTTTACACAGTGGCCTTTTAAGTACAAATAAAACAAAACAAAACAAAAAAAATCTATCTATCTATCTATCTATCTATCTACTAAAAAAAGTCATGCATTTTTTATTTAAGTACATTGTAAAACTATGTAGAAAGTGGCACGTGTTTAAAAATACTAATGTAATTTAGGTAATGTAAATGTACTTCAAATTTGTACTTAAGTATAGTACTTAAGTAAATTTACTTTGATTACATGCCACTGCTGGTCAGCAGACGGACGCTTAGTAACTGAAATGAAAAAAAAACTGGTCTGACATGAAACAGCTTAGCGTCCATCCATCCATCCGTCCATCCGTCACATCAAACACATCTGTGTGCTTTCTCAAAATGTGTTCTGTGTGTGAGACCACAGCATCTCAGAGCAGTATGGAAGCCATTCAGAAGCTGAACATCATGTAGGAGTTTTTGTAGTCATAATTGGATTCTTTAGCCCACAAATTTGATAGTCCAATCATTCTAATTACTCTTAGACATAAAGAGTAATAATCTAAATTTAATTATATGATATACATACTTTTTTTAATGTTCCTGAAATTTAAAACTTGAGTTTCCTTGCATTGAACAAACAATGTATGGACTGTGAAAAATGAACAAAATAGGAGAAAATTAATTTATATATCACTTCCTACATGATGTTCAGTATCTACTTGTCTACCCCCTTTTGCACGGAGCATGTCACAGATTGCCTCAAATGCATCATGATATAAAGTAATATGAATTTCATGTAAGAGAACAGGAGCATGTCAGTATACCTCCTGTGATGATAACAGGCCAGTATACACAATCATGTTACTTAAAGACAACCACCACATTATTGGTGTTTGCAGCCGAACTTTGAATGTATTGTACACCAAAATTCAGTTAACTATAGAAATGTAACTAGTGCAGAAATACAAGGGACGGCTTATTTCAATTCAACCCTGATGCTGAATAATTCTCTTCTTAAAAAGCAGTTTATTTCTTGGTAAACCCTTTATCTGCCTTCATCAGTGAATACATTAAAAAATACTTCCCAATCCTGGTTAGTGTGCAGCTATTTTCTCATGTCTACTTTTTCCTTTCCAGTCAGAAATGTTCACTATCGCGGTTGCTTCAAGTTGCTGAAGAACACCATCATCACCTTTCCCATCTACACCTTTCAGCTCAACCTAACCAGACAGTCCTGCATCGAGACCTGTACAGATAAGGTTTGAAGTAGTTCTCTGAATTTACATACCTTATGATCAATTTATTGCACATAGCTTTCTGAACTCTATGCACAAGCCAACATGCTTGCACAAAAATTTAATAAGTGTACTGATGATGTCAAGATAGCTTTGTTTAGGTCATATTGTACTTCATTGTATACTGCACACCTGTGGTGCAGGTACAGTGCTGCAAAAATGAAAAAAATCCAGGTGGCATATAATAATGCATTTAGGATTTTACTCAGGCATCCAAGATGGACAAGTGCAAGCCATATGTTTGTCAGCAGTGATGTGCCCACTTTTCATGCTGTTCTTAGAAAGTTTATTTACAGTTTTATGTGTCGACAAAGAATGGAGTCATTATGGCCCTAGCGGTGCCTGCACAAAGTGACACAAAATATTTGTCATACTTCTGGAAGCACTGGAATAGATGCCTGTATGTGTTTTAAACCTACTTGTTGTGTTGTTTTTATTGTATTGTCTGTGTTTTTGTATATGGACTTGAGTCTGGAATAAAGTTTATCTGTACTATACTGGTGGTTCTCCACTTCATAGACACTGCACAGCTCAGAGAGCTGTCTCCACTACTAGGAGATCACATATAAGGGCAAAGAGCTCCTTGGATTTTGCTGAATATTAAAATTTTAATGTGCCTCTAATGAGAAGCAGATAGTCTGGATCCTGCACTGAGATCTTACTGGATGCAACTATGTCTTCTCTGAAAGCAAAAATGGCTGATAGAAATATTGTAGATCATCAGAAGGTGAATGGATTGTGAATAATTATCATGCTGTGATGTGTGTGCATGTATGTATGTATATATATATGCATGCATGTGTGATTATGCATAACTTTTCTCAGATTTTTACTGCAGTTTTATGTCCTTGTGCTTTGACATTGAGCATTTTGATGTAAAAGTGGAAAAGTGGGAAAAAATAATGAATAAAACTAAAACATGGAGAGATGCTGACTGAACTGAGCTGACAATATGGATCTTCAGAGAGAAAAATAATTATGATGAGTTGTATAAATACATGGAGAACATTTGTGCTTTTTGGTTTATAGGAGCTTCCGCTGGCTGTGTTCAAGGAGCCCCACTGTTTCTGTACATGGATGTCCTCTCTTTTCGGCCTCAACCAGCAGTCTGACAACCAGCAGTGTTTGGGGAACACTGGGCTGAATCACACAAGCGACTCCACACCCACAGCATCCATTGAGCATGACCACTACCACGTGTATCACACGCCAGTGCTTGGTGAGAGACGATGTAATAATTTCCCGCTGTATCAGTCATTTTCACGGATCACACAAAGCAATTAAATATCCAGCCTCTGTTGCCTCCTCTAAAATGGTCTGTAAAAAGATCCTCAGCTAAGAGTGGTCTATTCTGTGACACTGCATGAATGTAGCGTTGTTTCTATAGTGAAACTGAGTGACGAGGAAATTGCTCTTGAAAGCAGTGTACAGATCACACCAGTAATCTCAACTGTTTCATTTTTTGCCTTCTTGCAACCATGCTGTAATCTGGGTCACATATGACTTGTTCTGTGTTGTGAAAATGAATCAGTTTTGGGCTCTCTGCATCCACACTTTCTGATGCATACTGATCTAGTCCAGCTCTGCTTTGTTTTGTAATTATACCCAACAACAAAATCTTCTTTTAGACTCCAGGTGCAAAGAGAGGATGTTTCTGCCTCAGAGATCCAGCTCCCTCGTGGCTCTTTCTAGTTTTCCTGGTGCAGGCAACACCTGGGTACGACACCTGATTGAGCTTGTGACTGGCTACTACACTGGCAGCTTCTATTTTGATGGCACACTGTACAACAAAGGTGGGGAGGGCACCTCACCACTGCTCAAATGAACGTCTAAATGAGTGCTCTGTGAAATATTGCGTCACAGCTGACCCTTATCCATTCATTTATTTACTGGTACCAGGTTTCAAAGGAGAGAAGGACTACTGGAAGAGTGGCCGCAGCATCTGCATAAAGACCCACGAGAGCGGCCAGAGGGAGATTGAAATGTTCGATTCTGCCATCCTGCTGATTCGAAACCCTTACCGCTCCCTCATGGCTGAATTCAACCGTAAGTGTGCGGGACATCTAGGACACGCTACAGATGCACAGTGGAAAAGCAAAGGTACTGTCCAGTTGTTTTTTGTCATATACAAAAAATTGCCACAGTGAAGCAGTCATTGGCAATATAACTCAAGCCATCTCCAACACTGCTCATCTGACTAAAATGGAAAGATTCTGTACTGTGTGTATGTCTGTCTGTCTGTCTGTCTGTCTGTTGATTTACTTGACAGTTGTTTATCCAGTGGACGTCAAACTCGGCAGATGTATTGTTGATGAGTAGTGTAGTGTGTAGTGTTGAGCGTGGGCTCTTGAGATCTATGGGACATATTTATTAGTAGTTGTATTATCCAGTAAACTGCTGAATAATATATATGAATATGTATTGTAGAGTATTCAATTTCAGTTTCAATTTTTTTTATAAATGACATTGTTGTCAAGCAGTCAGTGCCACACAGTATGAATTTTGCTGTGATTTCTCTGTTACCAAAACAGGGCAAAGTAATTTTTGTTTACAAAGCCTGTTAAATACCGGATTTGTAGTGTTTGCAAAGATGCCTGAGAGTGTGGCTACATGGGGCGGCAGTAGCTCAGTCCATAGGGACTTGGGTTGGGAACCGGAGGGTCGCCTGTTCAAGTCCCCATCCGGACCAAAATATGGAGTGTGGACTGGTAGCTGGAGAGGTGCCAGTTCACCTCCTGGGCACTGCCGAGATGCCCCTGAGCAAGGCACCGAACCCCCCCAACCACTCTGTCATGGGCAACTCTGACGTCTGTCCACTTAGTGCATGTATAGGTCCAGTTTGTGCGTGTGTGCTCGTGTAATTGACAACAGAGTGAAAAATTGAATTTCCCCTTGGGGATTAATAAAGTATATAAAATTAAAAATTTAATTTAATTAAATTACATCCTATAGGTGAAGTGGATTTCATTGATGGCTGCCTCACATTTAGTGACATGGAGAGACTTTTTAATAAATAGTAAAAGTCAAAAGTGGCATGACTTTAGCATCCAGTAGTGGCAATATTTCTGAAAGCATTAGACAGGATACAAAAAACATATCTATTTTATGCTTTAGAAGCTGGTACAATATACAACATGAGTAAATAAAAACATACTATTGCTGTTCAGTGTAATCATCTGTTTAAAATACCATCTGTATGTTTGAAAGAAAGCATGAGACATTTATAACCATATTTAGGCTCTTATTCTGTGTACCTGATGTTTACATATTCTTATTGTAAATGCTGATTTTGCATTCATACAGTTTTGATCGAAATCTTTATTCTTCTTATTCTTATTTAACCGTACATTTTTTAAATGACTGTAGCTTCTCATACTTTGAGCTACAGAAACCATTCAAATATCAAAATGTTCATCTGTCAACTGTCTTCAAGGACTTTCAATTTTCAATTCAATTCAATTTTATTTATAAAGCCCAATATCACAAATCACAATTTGCCTCACAGGGCAGTGGATAAGGAAAAACTCCCCCAAAAAAAACCCTCTAACGGGGAAAAAAATGGTAGAAACCTCAGGAAGAGCAACTGAAGAGGGATCCCTCTTCCAGGATGGACAGACGTGCAATAGATGTCATACAGAAGGGTCCATGTCATTGATTCGACAGCCCATTGGTTCAACATCCCATTAGTCCGACTGTCCACGGTGCTGAACGGCTCGCGGTGGGCGTATGGTACGCCATGACCGGCTTGAGGCGGAGCAGACTCACAGCTTATGAGTTTGTCACTTTCTTTTTCATTTTAACCCACACCATGATCTTTTCCTGACCCTAACCAAGTGGTTTTTGTGCCTAAACCTAACCAGACCTTAACCACAGGGCATCATGATGATTTCAGAATGGACTTCTGAACAATGAGTTTAATATGGTCGGAACAATGGGATGTCGAACCAATGGGCTGTCGAACCAATGGGCAGTTCCCGTACAGAACAGATCAACATAATAAATTAACAGTAATCCGTATGTCACAGTGAAACAGAAAGAGAGACAGAGAAAGAGACAGAGAGAGATGCAGGACAGACGATAATGTTAATAGCTTACAAAAACATTAATGAAAGTAATAATATTATAATTATAATTCTGGCTATTGTGGTACAATATGTTGAAAGTAAATATTAACATCTGATAGTATATGTATGTGACAATAATCATATGTGTATAATAACAGTAGAAGTATGACTAATGATAACATACTTCCATTATACTTTCATGTTTCTATCATTTAACCACCTAATTCCTGAGGGTGCTATTGTAGAAATTATTATGGGTGCATCTTCTAGTGAGATAGCGGAAGTAGCAGTCAGACAGGTAGTTGCATTTAGTGTCTTCGGTTAGTACCAGTGGCCAATCTTAGTGGCTAACCACCAATGTTAGTTCTTTTTGAAAGTAATTCTCCTTCAATTTAATAAATATGGCTTTGATTATAACAGATATTTAACTAATATTAGCATGTTCAAAATTGTCTTTGCGGAGCTCTGGTACCTGTTGCACTGTCGGTGTCTGTAATGTTAGTAAAAAACAGAGTGAGCTTAATTTGTGGCTTCAACAATTGTGTGTTAAACATGTACTCACAACAAAATGGGATTGTTCCTGTAACCAGTGGTATAGTTTCCATCACCTACAGAGAGATGAAAAGAGGAATGGCAGTGTGAGTATTGCAAGAGTGGGATGTCGAGGTGAGATTCAACATGGTGGCACCCTACTGCTAAGATACACACCAAAAGTAAGCCAAAGAAAAAGGAATAAAACTACATTTCTGGTCAGATCACAACTACAGCACACCTTCTACAAACAGTCCGAAGTAAAATAACCTTACAGTGGAGGATTTAATGGACCTTGAGATATTCATTGACCACTACCAGCGAAACAACAGGACAGGACCCAAACTTAGAAAAACCCCTGAAAAAAAAAAAAAAAAATCTTCAACAGACTTGAATGACCTTAAAACCACTGAAATTGAGGAGCATCACTCATAGTAGACTGACTGTAGAGCGATGGACAATTATTCTGCAACACCAGAATCATGCCATTACTCTTCTAGATGAACTGAAATTAACTAAAACATCCAAAACAATAATGTTGTTTGTCTTGATGTTCCGTGTATTCACCACTCATTTGTATGTCCAGTCACATGTCCAGTCTCTGTAGTTCATGTTATATATTATGAGTACAGACAGCTTTAATGTCAGCTCATTGACTTACAAATCCTTCTTGGTTAATGATTTGATAAATGAAAAGAATTTGCACTGAATGTTTTAGGAGAGACCTGGCTTAGCTTCACCACTGGTGTCGCAACACTGATAGAAGCTTGTCCTGCAAACTATAAATTTTATCAGGTACTCAGACAAAAGAGGAAAGGAGGGGGATTATAGCTATCTTTTCTGCATAGTTTTTGTGTAATGACATTGATCTGGGTGAATTTACATAGTTTGAATACCTTGCACTTGAGCAGCATTATCAGTGCTCATCATTACATAATATTGGCCACCAAATTATTCATCAGTATTTCTTAAGGAATTCTAAGAGCTGATTCCACTAAGTGTCACTAGATATGATGGATTAATTTTGAATGGAGACCTGAATGTTCATATCAACAAAAAGATTGATTCCACATCTACTGAGTTTATGAATGTAGGCCTACCTGACAGCTTTGAGCTTACTCAGCATGTAAATAAAGCCACTCATCAGCATAGTAACATTCTAAACTTGGTAATAACAACAGTGGTAAACATTGACAATGTTTCAATATCTTAGTTAGCCATCTATCTATCACTGTGTGTTTTTTGGTGCCAAACTAAACTCAACAAACTAAAGGTGAAGTTCTGGTTCAAAAGAGACTTTTAGGTGGCAAGGCTGAAGCAAAGTTTTCTAATATAATGAGATAATTTGAGTCATACAGGTAGGGCTGCTCTGTAAATGACATGGTTAAAATTTTCAACAATACCCCGTTTTCTGCTTTAAATACTGTTGCCCCACTAAAGGTTAAAAAGAGGATGACTGACATAATTTCCCCATGGTTAAACAGTAACAGTGGCTACGGTTACATGATGGCTTCTCATTCAGAATGAAATGAATCTGAATGAAATCATTTGGAATTAGTTTTTCCAGGTAGTTTACATGGGAAATATTCATTCCGAATGAGGGTTTACACGGGAGATCAGTTTAATCTCCTTTATTCTGGTCTGCACAAGGTTTGGGGCAGGGAAGGTTTCTGATTGGATAGGGGGTGGGGCGGATGTTACGTGTTTACGTTTACCGGAAGAAAACACTGTAGTCCTCGCTCCGGATAACAAGATGCTTGACAACGCCATTCTTAGTGCCTTTTTTGGGCGTGTTTTGCCTCTTTCAGAAAGAGGCATTCTTGAAGCAGCAGTACGACAACAATCTTGTTCTGCTAATGCTTCATCTGTTGAGGAGGGGAAGGGAGGTAGAAGACTGTGCTGTGGAGAATGGAAACCGGTGAGTGCAACGAGTCCAACTGCTCTATCTCAGCCCGTTGCTATGCGCGCAATATACGTCATCGCGCCAGAAGGGCAAGGAAACGAGAATGCGCAGAGAGACCGGAATGAACTTAAAGAGGAATGAGTGTATACATGCACACAAAATTCTTTCATTCAGAATGACGAACAGAATAAACCACCCCCTTTAATCGGATTTAATTTTCAATCGGAATGACCGTTTACATGACCACTTTTAATCGGAATGGCCTTTCATTCCGATTAAAAGTGGAATTAAACTGTCCATGTAAATGTACTGAGTGTTAATGAGACTAAGAAAATCTGCCGAGCAGCTGAAAGAAAATGGAGGAAAACTAAGCTCACAGTTCACTGCACCATATACAAAGAAGAGATGACTGCCCATAACAAAGCAATGCGTCTGGCAAGAAAGGATTACTTTTCCAAGATTTTCACCGAAAATGCTGGGAACTGGTATTATTCTCAACCATTGATCAGCTACTCAACACTGCCTCCACCTGTCTGCAGTTCTCTGCATCAAAGGGTGAGGAACTTGCATTGCTCATCAAAAACAAAATAACTTCAATAATT